TTTCTGTTCTTGTGATAGTTTGCTAAGAATGATGGTTTCCAGCTGCATCCATGTCCCTACAAAGGACACAAACTCATCCTTTTTTATGGCTGCATATTTCCTGGCTGGTCGCTTTTCACCAAAGGGTCCCCTCCCCAGTTGTTATTTCAGAGATGCTTTCCCTTGCTGCCCCAGGTCCCAGGTGAGTGAGAGCGGAGACGCTGCTTCTCCTGAAGCCTGATGAAGTACGCAGGATTCAGACGGGCATGTTTGCCTTTTAAATCCTGACCAGACCGCCCCGGCCCCAGTAGCTTGAGGCTTTTTTCTATGCCTCCAGGAACTTCTGAATGCATCTTACAAATGTTGAGGACTGGTCATCGTGGAGGATGGGGCCTTTGAATGTCAGCTGCACTTATGGGGGCGGATGCAGACAGCAGCTTGAAGTGCAGGAGGGAAGTCAGGCCCAGCACTGCTAGCCAGACAGCCAGGGCTCGGCTAGCCCCAGGCCCGGGGTGCCACCTGCCAGTCCTGTGAGGAATTTGGGAGAGACAGCAGCGGGCTCTGACAGGCCATTATCTTCACAAGGAAATGGCCATGAATCAGAGTGCTGCTGATGGCTTGTTTCATTTTAAATAATTTTTTTGAGGCCGTATCAGAGGGAATGGGCTGCCGTTTGCAGCTTTGAACAGGAATGCTGTCCATTGCTGTTAGAAGCCATGGGATATTTACAAACTGGGTGACTGTTGGCGTTTTTCCTCTTTGCTCCTTGGTTTCCTCCCTTCCATGGTGGGGATAATAAATGCTGTCTGTCTGACACAGGGCCGTTGGGGTGCGTTCCAGGTGTTCGTATGTCGGCTAGCATGAATTCGGTGCCCGCTCTCTGCCGAGCCCTGAGTTATACAGCTTCCTATTCCATCCTCACCACAGTCCCGCGAAGGTGGGCACCACTCAAGGCTGCAGTCTGGCTTAGAGGAGCTCAGTGCACCCATCCCTGGGCCGCCCACGAGTATGGGTGGAGATGTCTCAGCCCACCTGTACTGCGTCCCTGTGGGTGGGCAGAGCTCTGCGTACAGATGCATTTGCTTTCCGGATTCTCACAGTCATCCTTTAAAACAAGCTGTTCTCATTGTTCAGATGATGGCATGGAGGCCTAGTGGAGTTAAGTGACTTGCTCAAAGCCATTTAGCCTGTAAGTGATACGTCCTGGATTTGAAGGCAAGTCAGTCTGGAAGTCCTTTGGAAGACCTGAAAAGGAGAATTGGTAAAGCCAGGGGTTCCTGTACCTTTCAGGCCTTAAGAAAGTAATAGTAGGTTTTTTGTTTTTGTTTTTGTTTTTGTTTTTGGTTTTTGGTTTTTGGTTTTTTCCCTCTCTCTGTTCCTAATTTCATGAAGGAAATTATACATTTGCCCAAATGGCACTTCCCTTAATATTTCCTGAACCTTAATGTTTGCTCTTGATTGGCATTATGCCATCCTAGCACAATAATATTTGTCATCTCATACCTTAGGAAACTCTGCCTGATTTTGAATGATACAACAGAGGTTTTGGGATCTAAATGGAATGAGAGGAATGGTAAGAGATTAAGGATCCCTCATAAAAAAAAAAAAACAGGATGGTATCAATAAGACGTTTCCCAACTCTGAGTCCACATTCTGCCACCTCGGTCACTTAGATGGAGATGTCATCTTCTTCCTCAAGATGATGACAGGCCACCCACTACCCTGGGACAAAACAGGGCAAACAGTATAGAGCATAGGTCCCTCTGCTAGAGGAACATTGGTGTACAGCGCTCTTCTGCTTCCAAGAACCCCTCACTCCGTGCTACTCGCCCAGGATATTGTAATGGACATCTGCCTTTGATATATCCCTGCCTGATTCCTAACCCCACTCCTTCACTGTGTTTGGGAAGTACTCTTCCCGCTGTACAAATTGGAAGGCTAGGCTGTGGGCGTATGGACCTGGGCTTATCTAGTCACACATGCATGAGAGCTGGTGATGCAGAAAGCTGGGGGGTGGGGAGTTCATCTGGAGACCGGCCAGCAGCCACATCTAGTTTTTGGGGGTGGTCATGGTGGCTCGGCACCTCCTGCTCCAGTGCCCGTGTCCAGTGCTGACAGGTGGTGATGCAGGCTCTAGCATCCTCACACTGGGAGTGTGAGTTGGGATCCACTTATAGCAGCACAGCATAATGTCCTGCCCATTTTCTGAGCCTGGTTCTTTGGCTTTTCTGGGAATCAATGAGATGCCAAAGGCCTTTAAGTAAACTCCTCAATTTAAATCAGCCAAAGTCTTTTTCATCTGCTTAAAGCTAAGAAGCTGACTTTTATAGAGATGTTCCTCTGTAGTTAGCCAAACATTTGTATTCATTCCTCAGGCCCCTGAAAGTTCTACTTCACCTGTTAGGACCCTCCACGGGCCACAGAATTCACAGGAGAATCCCAGGTTTAGTGGGTGGCAGGACTGTGGGCTCAGCCATCTCCCTTCATTATTATTGTGACCCAGGTTTCCATCTTGCCTCCCAGACTGTGACCTCTGTGGGGACACAACTGAGTCCTTCATCTCTATCCTCAGCTCCTTGAGCAATGCTTGGCACATGGTAGGTGCTCGGGAAGGTTTGAATGAATGGGCCAAGGAACCAACAAAGAGATGAGAGAAGTTGGTGCCTGTGGGCTCTCTGCAGCCTTAATGAGTCTGGCCTGGCTTGGGCAGGAAGGGGGCCACGTGCCTGGAGACTGCAGACTGCCTGCAGTTCCATGCTGGAGATGGGCTGGGGAGATCATGGAACTTAGAGCAGGAAAGCAAGTAGCTAGAGCCATGAAAGGGACAGCCACTCCTCTGAGTGGAGGCAGCGTAGTTGGTACTTCCCGATCCTTTCACCTCATGGCACGTACAGAACACAGTATTATTTGTCTGGTACCCAGGGGTTTGTCCAGCTGGTGCTGGAGCAAAGGCCCCTCTCACAGCACACCGGTGACCCAGTGCCCACTGCTTAGAGCGCTGATCCCAAGGGAACTTAGAGACCCGTGTGGCCTCTTAGCCCTTTGTCATGTAAGTTGCAGGTGTTTTTCCTTTAGTTGTGTATTTGCCTTTATGATTTATTTTTTCTTCCACTTGGTTTATTCTTGACCATCACAGTTCTTTCTACAGGAGGTTCCAGCCTTGACAGGAAGAGTGTGGCCCTTCCTGGAATCCCTCTGGACACACCCTCCTAGCTTCCTCTAGGAAAGATGCGGCAGCTCAAAGGGAAGCCCAAGAAGGAGACCTCCAAGGACAAGAAGGAGCGGAAGCAAGCCATGCAGGAGGCCCGGCAGCAGATCACCACAGTGGTGCTGCCCACGCTGGCCGTGGTCGTGCTCTTGATCGTGGTGTTTGTGTACGTGGCCACGCGCCCCACCATCACCGAGTAAGCCCTGCAGCCAGCCGCGGACCCCATTGGCAGGGAGAGGAGGCGCGGGAGGGGGACGCAAACAAAAAATGGCTTTCATATTCAGAGATGTTCATGTTGCTGAGCTGTAAGCTGGAGCACCCTGTCTTCTCTGGTCTTTGACTTGATTAAAGTATCTCCGCTTTTCTTGGGAGGGAATAGGGGATGTTTTATCAGTGAATGTGCCATACACCTTATGGTCCACTTCATGTGCCTTTCAGACTTCAAAGCGCGCACGCGCGTGTGTGTTTCTTTTTCTCTCCTAAAAATCAATAAGTAGCTCCACCTGAAGAGGTGCGGAACCTCCGGGTCGGGAAGCAGCTGGAATCCGCACTCACCTCATTCCCATTGTTTGGATCATGCCTCTTTCCAACATGTGTCACAATCTCCAAAGGGACTGTATTTCTTCTCTGTGCTTAATGTGATTTGAAATATGTTGAATCAAAGTGAAATATTTATTTTTTGAATAAAGGAGATAATAGCCTTAAACTGGATGCTTATCATGTTTTACCAGTTGCTGTCTGTGAGTCTCCCCCTGCCCAGGGGTCTGCCTCTCTTCCCTCCCCTTCCCTTTCTCCTGTGGCTCTCTCCACCTTCCCCAGCACTCCCTCTGCTCATCATTTCTGAGTAAAATTATGCTTTTTGACTGACAATTTTAAGATGGAGAGGGACAGAAAGGGTGCATTAATTGGCTTGCTTTAGAAAGTGAGAGTTCTAATTAGACTGTGACCACAGATGCTTTTTACACCAGTTAGGTTTTCCTACTTTAACTTGGTATGTTTGTGCAAACAGCAATGCAGAGTGGTCCTGGAAGTAAAGGTCAGGCTTGGTTTTGTTCTTAGCTGAAAGGATGCAAATTGTTGGCATTCCAGCTGAGTTTTCAATGCAAATTGGCTGGAATGGTTGCCTCATTTTATTCTAACAGCACTGCTCATGCGGTCCCAGTTCCTGATGGAGCAGCCTCTCTTTGGAAGTCAGATTCATGGTGACTGTTCTGAGGGTTTCTGTTCTCCTGTCATTGCTGATTATGGAGATTTGTGGGGAGAGAAGCGCTTTTCCTAATCCCCGTGGCTGTGCGACTCGCTGATTGATGGCAGAGGCTGTTAGTGGAGATTTGGGGCCTCTTGGAGTGAGTCTTTCAGGAAGATGAAGCAGCTATTGAAAGGAAGGACTTCCCTGGCTGATGCCTGGAGAGCCTGGACTCCGCAGGCCGACAGAGCTCTGCGGCCCTACTCTGTCAGCTGGTCTCAGAGAGACCCGGTGCCTCCTCATACTTACTTAAGGGCCAATGGCCCTGGAAAGCGATTCGCTAAAATACTTAAATTCAGAGGCCGCTAGCATCACGTTCCTCTGAGGTTTCTGTTTTCCTCCCCTTTATTTGGTTCTGTTACAAACTTCAATGCTTGCTGGTCTGAGAAAGACTGCAGGCCACTGTCCCAAGGACTTTCTCATTCAGGGACTGGAGGGAGGGGGAAGGCATCTGCAGCCATCCCTGCTCCTCACACTGGCCTCTGTGCGGCTGGCGAGTCCCCTTCCAGGGGGGCAGATGCTGTGAGGATGGAGCAAGGACAGCCCATTCTCTCCAGCAGAAAGACCACAGTCTGCATGTCTTGCAATTACCTGATCGGCATTTAGTTCTCAGTCTGCCACTCAGAATTGTGGATTACTTAATCCCACTGAACCTCAGTTTCTCTGTCCGTAAAGAACTGGTAAAGTCACTTTTAGGAAGGTGAACTCTCTAGTAGAAAATGTGGCTTTTAGAACAAACCTGGGTTTTGATGCAGATTTTGCTGCTGAAATTCCTCTGAGTCCACTTAGAGGTTATCTTGCCTCATAGGATTGTGGGGAGGGTTAAGTTGAAATAGTGTATTTGTAAAGCCAAGTCTAGTGCCTGGGGCTTAGTTACTCATACTTACTGTGTAAACAATAGTAGCTTGATATTTTACATGTATTTATTTCTCACACAGCCTCATGAGGTAGGTACGATTATTACTCAATCTTACACATGAGGAAGCTGAGGGCAGGCCAGGGAACCTGTCCATGTCACACAGCTAGTGAGTGGAGGAGCTCTGGTTTGTTTATTCTTAAGCTTGTGTTACAGTGCGTTTTAGACATACGCAAAACTAGATGCAGCATGCCTCAGGTCCCTGTTGACCATTCTTCAGCAAACCCCACTACCTGGCTGCTCCTGCCCGTCCATCTGCTCTGCCCCCACATCCAGACACCCTCATATGCACACATGCCTTAGACTGTTTGGGGCAAAACAGGAGATGGGATTTTAAACCCAGGCAGCCTGGCTCCAGAATCTATGCTCTTCTTCATCATTAAAATCTGTTGCCTTTCAGTAAATTATTTTTCTACTCCCCTGGTCTAAAGAAACCTTGCCTGCCCAGGGTATTTGAACAGCCCTCACCTGGTCATGGTGAACAGCCTTTGATGCCATCTTTAGACAAATGGGCTGTGAGTTTGGCCTGCCTTGTGGGCACTAACTCCACCCAGCCTCTGGTCTGTTGCTCAGCGAAAGAGGAGCTTCACCTGGTAGCGATAAGAGAAATAATCTTTTCCATGGGCTCCTTACTTAAAACATTTCAGTGTTCTTGCTTAGGAAATTTTGTGTATGATGTGAAAAGAATATAATCTTGGGGAAACAGACATATCTGAATTCTACCTCTGCCATTTTCTAGCTGAATGACCTTACTCAGGGCCCATGACCTGCGCCGCACTTGCCCCACATCTGTGAAGTAAGGTTTAATTTCTAGGGGATGTTGGGAGGATATATTGAAATATGAAAATGGCATACTTTGTGCCTAGTACATTATGGAGGCCCCATAAATGGCCATTCCCTTTTCATCAGTGTGTTCAAAAACTCAGAATATAAATGAAGACCTGCTCCCCAAGGCTCCACTGGCCAAACAGACATGGCACACACCGTGTGATAGATCCTTTAGGTGCTTGTGGCTCTATCTTCACCACTGTTTTCCTCTTTATTGTCCATCAGGAGGCCTAGTTGGTTTGAACTGGACCTTCAGAAGGCAGCTACTAGACAGGCTTGGTGAAGGCAGGCTGAAAATGGACCTTTAAAAGATAAACATTTTGATGTTAGTCACCTGGCAGGGACCAGATGCCAATTTACTGTGGACTTGCTTGGTGGAAGTTTAACAATTCTCAGGGGAAATAGTACTCTCGTATGGGTGTACTTGGTAATGATTTGAGACACCAGCTTCCAAATTATTTCCAGCTATTCAATGGCTTCAAGGCAATACTGAATTATTTATTAGAAGTTTCACAGAAAGTCATACTGGGGTTTCAGCAGTAGAATCTAGCACTCTTGGCTTTCAGAGTCCTCATTACCAAGCCTAATGTTTCTTGAAGAGCATATTCTGAAAGAAAATTTGAGTTGGAAACAAGAATAGAAACCATTATCATTGGTTTAAAAGGTGTCATTTGATGTATTTTTTTTTTTTTTTTAAGTCCCGATACCAAGATGTGTTTGCGTATACATTTTCTGGCTAACGAAAATCTTGGTGATTATGGAGGGTATGAGACTGAGAGAAGAAGGATCTGGACCCAGTCTGCTACTCCGTGTGACACTGGCCAGGCACCTCATATAGGTATGTTGGACCATACAATCTCATGAGAGCTCTTATATCCCAGAGCTTCTGTGAACATACAGTTAACAAAATACCTATGTGAATGAATAGATTTACTTGGAGCTCAGAGAACCAATGGCACCTGGTGTAAGAGGTCTGAGGATAGAAGCTACAAGGTAGCCTGTGTATCTTCTCGTGATCTTCCCAGATCTCTATAAATGCAGTGGTTGCTACCAACTGGTCATGAGTCTAAACTTGTAAAGGTTAAGTTCAGTTTGATTGGTCCTGAGGCCACCATCTATTAAGTTTTCCTGGTCAGTTCAAGGACAGAGCAAGTATGCACCCATCCATCCTTCATGTGTCCTTCATGAGGTAAGATAGGGAACCTGCAGCCAGGTTCGTCTGTGAACTGGAGATGGTTAAGACACTGCTGTAGGTTGCTAGGAAAATTCAAGAGATGATTGTCCTTCCCTCTTCCCCAAAAGGGTCTCACACCGTTCATTACTTTTCAGAGGTAGAAAAATAAGGAAATCTTTTGAAATTATGGCTCTGAGGTTTTTTGTTTGTTTGTTTGTTTTTTGTTTTTTGTTTTGGGAAGTCTACCATCACATTCCCTATATCTCTGCCTTGAATATATCCCATACAGAATATTTTTCAAAGATGTCTGCCTTTGAATATATTTGAAACTAATTCTGTGTTCTGTACAATATTTCCCAGACTTTTGCTTAAACATTAGAAATGAGATACAGAATTTTGGGATCAGAAAGATGAATGAATAGCTTCCTCTAAATCTTTTGAGAGTATCTGTATTAGAATTGCAGAAGGGTTTGTACATCCTCTGGATCCGTGTCCCCTTTCCTCCGTGCTTGAAATAGCAGGCAGAGCAACTGTGCACGTATGGTTTGCCTCTACCTGGCAAAACTCTTACTGTCAGGCCTAACTTTTTCTTACGAATCTTAATGCACTTCAGTAGGCAGTCCTCTTCTGAGTATTTTCTCATTACAAGGCAAATGTCCTTGACTTCAGTGTATTTCAGTCTTGTCATGTGTATTATCTCCCTGCCTGCCAGTTCTTTGGAAAGGAGCCAGTCTTTTCAAAAAGCTTTTATTCCCTTGAACTGTTAACAACTTAAGGAATGTGGAACTGAGAGAGGATTTGGATGCTCAGCAATGTCATGGTTAAGGGTCTTCTCCTTCCTTTGTGTTCACTTTCCCATTGTTTCATAAAAGTTGTCTGCTTTTGAACTTTCCCACAAGGAAACTTTCATCCAACCTTTGAATATTCCCTTCCAACTGAAATAGGCACAACTGGTCACACAGGGATCACCCAGCTTTTTCAGAAACCATATTAAGTCATTTGGGATCAGGCTTAACCTCAAAGGCACTGTGACAAGTTTGGGTTGGAAAAAATTAAGAAAGCCCATTATGAACTCTTTTTTCAGACTCCTCCACCTTGAAATTTCTCTGTCTCCACCTGATTCTGTCAAAGGTCTGCCCATCTGTTGCATCCACCCCAATTCTCCAGAGACATTGAAATTTTCCTATCTCACACAGTCCTCCCGGATTAGATTTTAAAAGACATATTTAAAGCAAAAATGTACAAAACGTTGAAGAAAAAAAGGAAAAAGGAAGGCAAATATGAACAAAACCTATGGCAACAGTTTTAACATCAGCAAAAGAAATATAAGGTGAACATGCCATGAGGGACAAAGGATGACATATACTAGTACTCTGATAAAAGATTATGAATGTGTAAATATAGCTTCAAAATATATAAAGCAAGCGACTATTGACAGGACCATGAGAAGAAATACATCACAATTTTAGTTGTTTTTAAGGTAGCACTTTTAGAATTTGATAGATCAAGCAGATGAAAGGAGCACATATATAGAAGATTTGA